ACATGATTTGAATCCACCAGCTACTCCGCAGAAGAAGGATGGGCACTCTCCTTCCCTACAAGTTATTTCCTCTGAACACCTGCTAGAGGGTCAGCTATGGGTTGGTTACAACTCAACAGCAAACAACTACAACTACAACACATGGGAGCTCTGGTGCTTTAATGGTAAAGAGTTGCTGTGCCAACCTAAAGGAAGTGGTTTGAATCCCCCCCAGTTGCTCCACAGGAGAAAGGTGGGCAAGCTCCTACCATGGGGTTTACTCAGCTATGAGTTGGTTCCAACGTGATGGCACATGACAACAACAATGACTGACCGAAAGGCAGTCCGGTGGTCTACTGGGTAAGGAGATGCACTGCCATCCCAATGCCAGGCAGTTCTAGTCCAGCAGCCTTTTGCAGGAGAAAGATGAGCAGTCTCCTCTCCTGAGATTTATAACCCCCAAAACTTAACTGGAAGGTCTGCAATGGGTGGGTCCCACCTCAATGGCTCATAATAAGAACAACAGCTATAACTATAATGGAAGTGCTATAAGCAGATGGCTTTAACAAGCAGAAATTCATCTCTATATTGAGGAGGTTCCTTGCCACTGAGTTGGAATCAACTCATAACTGACCCTCCATTCAATTTCCAAGGCTGGAAATCACACAGATTGTCCATCTTTCTCCTGTGGAGTTGCTGAGGGGTTCAAACCCCTAGAGAGGCATGGCCTTTGGGTGAGCAGTACAGCTCCTGACAGACTAGACCACCACTTGTCTTTTCTTATTATGTACCATTGAGTTGCAACTCCTAGCTGCCTCTCCAATGGCTTTTCAGAGAGCACAGAAGGAGAGTGTCCATCGTTCTACATCCCATGGAGCAGCTGGTTGATTCAAACCTTGTGCCTCCGGGTTGCAGTGCAACTCTTTACCACAAAGCCACCAGAGCTCCACAGAAGTCCTGATTCAGGGCACCAGCTCTAGGGGAAGGCATGCTTTTTCTGTCAGCTCTCAAGATGGTCCTTGTCTGTCTAGTTTCTATTTCATGGCTCCTAGGAATTCTCCCTCCCCTCTGCTTACCCAGTTTGCTCTTTTTCTCTTGTAAGAGAGTGACTCAGAACACACCCTACACTAATTCTGCCTTATCAACAAAACAGAGAACTTGTTAGCAAATGGGATTATACCCTCGAGCATAGAGGTTATGATTTACAATACTTGTTTTGGGGGAATACAGTTAAATCCATAAGTGTACTCTAATTTAAAATAAAAAAACATCTCTTATTAATGGCCTTATGAAAATTGTGCAAGCTGGCCAATTAATAAGATTGTCGTCTGACGTGAAGTCTACCTTGGCCTGGGTAATTGCCAAGGAAGTGAGGTCCTGGGGATGAGCACAAGACAATGACTCCCTGTTCCAAGTAGAGTCATTAAGAATGCAAGAGCACTAATGCACAGAGGCTGCTTCCAGGGTGCCACTGATGCCAGGGCCACAGCAGGAAAACCCCAGCCGACATTCAAGTCTCTCATTTCATAATAAACAGAGAACAATGTCGGGCCAGCCTACCCCCCATGGTAGGGAAGACAAAGAACCAGCATTGAAGGAGCCTCCCTCGTGTGCCAGTTTCAGTATATATTGTCTCAATTCAGAGATGCCAAAATAGTCCAGTAGTTTTCCATGTGTGCATTTGACAACGAAATTGTGAGCAAGGCCAGAGGAAAGTGCATGAGACCTTAAAGCCAAGCCCTGGTGCTTCACCTGAACTCAAGTCAGTTTTGGCAGCCTAGCCAGTGTACAAGGTCCCTTTAACACTGCACAGCCCAGCCCAGGCCCTGCCGCAGATCCAGATAAGGGCAGTGCTGGGCTCCAGGCCTTTCTGATCAAAGCCTCAGATCCCTGGCAGTGGCCCAGGTCCTACGTACCTTTGTCTGCAGGTATCTCTTAGCTGAACTCTTGCCTCACCTTCTGACTTACATTTCGTTCACTAGACTAGCAGTGACAATAATAACAAGAGCTAATCTTGTTAATGAAGCTCTAGTGTGTTGTTACTATTAACTGTGGGTCATAGCGACCCTGTGAACAACAGATCTGAACCTTGCCCTGCCTGCACCATGCTGACGGTCCCTCTTATGCCCAAGCCCACTGTTACAGTCACTTTGTCAATCCATCTTGTTGACAGTCCTCCTCTTTCTGCAACCCTCTCCCTTTCCCAGTCTGATGACATTTTCCAAAGACTGGCCCCTCCTGACATGGCCAAAGTATGAGTGAGAGCACTTTTCACCATCCTTGCCTGTAAGAACCACTCTGGTTACACTTCCTCCAAGACAGATTAATTTTGTTCTTCTTTTGGTATTCCATGGGATATTTCATACTCTTCTCCAACACCACAATTCAGAGGCATCGATTCTTTTTTCTTATTCATTATCCAACATTCAGATGCATACAAAACAACTGAAAATACCAGGCGTGGGTCAGGCACAACTTAGCTTTTAAATGTATACCCTTGCACTTGAGCACTTTGGAGAATCCTTGACAGCAGATTTCCCCAATGCAACATGTCTTTTGGTTTCAACTTTTTATTCTATCAAGATTAAAAGAGGTGTTGTGTATTACATCTTGGGATAAGCACTCTGTACTTTATCTTACATAACTAACTTCACAGCAGCCCTTGGGGTAGGCACCATCACTATCATTTCTCTCCTCTATTTGCAATGAAGTAAATTCTAGCTCGTGGTACCTCCCTGTGTGTCAGAATAGAACTGTGTTCCATAAGATTGTCAGTAAATTATTTCTCTGAAGTAGACTGCCAGATATTTCTTCCCAGACCCCACTGGGTGGACTTGAACTCCAGCCTTTTGGCTAAACTGATTGCATTAACCTGTGCCACCTAGGGATTCCTTATGATCTCACGATCTTTGCATCCCACATGCACCACAGAGGCAAACAAGTTAGGTAATTTACCTGAGGTCACGCAAAAACCTCATTGTTGTCAAGTTGGAACCAACTCACCTGACCCCAGCAGGCTTTCAGCGGCTGTAAATCACCTGGTAGGAAACTGCCATCTTTCTCTCTCGAAGTAGGTGGTGAGTTCAAACTACCTGCCTTTGGCTTGGCAGTGCAACTCTGTCCACTAGGCCTCCAGGGCTCCCCCAAATGGCTTGTCTGGGGCAACCCAAGCCCACCTTTCTCAGAGCTGCTTCAGACACCATGTGTAAATCACCTCTGACTTTTGACTACCTTAAGAATATCTGTCCCTTAGTGCAGGCCACAACCACCCACATCTCTCAAACTTTTATTCAGGAACTAGAAATGCCGGTCTAATCTGGATATTTTTCTCAGCTCTTTAACAACTCTGCTTCTGGTCAAGTAATGTGTTTAGACAACAGTTCTATGTATGTTCATCACCTTATTTATTAATATGCACGGTCAAATCTTGTTTTGTGGAAAAGAAGACTTGGTATTTAAACTGTTTTTAACTCAACTATGTAAAACAAGCAGGACTCAGAAAACTCATTGCTGTCAAGTTAGAGCAAACTCATTGCTACCCTCCATCGGGTTTCTGAGGCAATAAATCCCACAGGAGGCGATTTCCCATCCTTCTCCCTTGAAAGAAAGATTCAAAACACCGGGAAAGACGCCATCTTTGGTTTAGCCGAACAACTCCCTATGAACTCTCCCACCAGAGCTCAAACTTGAACATGAATTCTGTTTTAATAGTCAGCACTTAATTCCATGCCAGCATTGTGCCATATATTAGAGATCAGTCTCAGGGAAAATCATGGTCTTAGCAGACTTAGATCTTTAACCAAATGTTAAAGAAGTAGATTGTCTTATCCTGTATAATAGTTTACTCTAAGACCTATTGGAGAGCATGACGTCACTAAAGAAAAGGCAGACACACAGAGCTGTAAAGAGCTCTAGACAACAGGCTGTTACACACACAGTTCTGCGTTGCCAGCACCAACAAATATTAACCTTCAAGTAGAGGCGTGGGCAGCACACAGATGGACAGATACACACAAGTGAATGGGATTACGCTCACTATTGTGCATAGACGTGGCAGATGATCGTTCAACGTGAATTCTTGTATGTGCTGTAGGTGGGCCCATGTATACAACAGAGCAGAGACAAAATAATGTAAACTTCTTAACCAACTCAACTCGCTGAAGGAAGAGGTCACTGGCCAAGTAACCTTAGAATCACAAGGGGAGATAAAGACTCATTTCTCTGTAGAGACCACTGAAATTGCCATTGTCAAGTTAATAGGAAGGAAATTCAATTAGAAAGGTAGAATAATTAATGGGACAATTTATTAGCCATTCACTTTCTTTGAGCATACCCTGGATATTTACAAATACGTTAAATATGTACAAGTACATTAATACTGAACTCATTGCCTTCAAGCCAGAACCAATTCATGGCTGGCCCTCTGGTGCATTTCTGAGGCTGGTTATGCACGTAAGGAGATTGCCCATCTTTCTCTCAAAGAGCCACTGGTGGGTTCCAGCTGCCAGGGAGGCATCGCCACTGGATTGGCAGTGCAATTCCCTACAGACAACACCAGCAGAGGTTTTTTTTAAAAGTTCATGTTCTGGGTCCACTAGCAGCTCAAGGAGCAGAGAATGGGCGATCTCCTCGAGTGTGGTTTACAGCCTAAGAAACGCTCTGTGAAGGGTCAGCCGTGAGTCAGCTCGGACAAGGACCGTGAGGGAGTGATGATGTAATCAGTAACACCAGGAAGGAATGCCCTCCTAGGGACAGTGAACCATCCAAGATGCACAGGCAGGGAGGGTGGGCAAGAGGAGCCGATGGAAAGGTTAGCACAGGGAGGAAGTGCAGACCGTACACTTACAGGAAACAGTTGTGTTCTCAGGGGTTTGGTGGGTTTTGCTTTTTTTAGCTCATTTGTTTATTTTCATGTGAGGCAGTACTTAGACGGTGATGATAGTTTTCACTGATGTAAATTCTAGCACGCAGACTTAGTTACCATTAAGTGTGTTAACGGCCTTCTCTTCTCCTCTGTCCAGGATATCTGCGCCCGAGCTTACCTGGCCCTCCGTCATCACACAAACCTACTGATCATCCTCTTCTCCATGATGCTAATGACCGGAATGCCCCAGCTGACCAGCAAAGAAGATATTGAATATATCCGAGATGCCCTAACAGTGGGGAAGAATGAGGAGGATGCAAAAAAGTATTTTCTTGATCAGATTGAGGTTTGCAGAGACAAAGGATGGACTGTGCAATTTAATTGGTTCCTGCACCTTGTTCTTGGTATCAAACAAGGAGAGAAGCATTCAGCCTAATAGTACTCTGGACCACAATTAAGGAACAAGTTACTAGCCTAAAGCTTTAAGTTAGCATGCCATTCATCCCACACAGATTTAACAAAACAACAACACAACTGGTCTGCATCGATGTGAAAATCGGGACTTTGTAAATACAGGCATTTTCCCAGCTTAACTTTTCACTGGAGAAAACAAACAAACAAAAAAATAACATTGCTGACTGTTTGCTTTGGTAATATCTAATGTAGGCTTATTTGTAGGTTTGTTGGGGATCTTTTTATCCTATTTGTATCAGTGAGACTAGAGGATATTCTGAGTTAAATAGACTAAAGACTTCCTTAGTGTGTCTGACATTGTGACTTAACTTATTATTGGATGCTTCTGGAAATGCTTTAGACTCATTGGTGGCTTTTTTTCCCCCACCAGATTTTAGTCAACTGTCTATTTTTGTTTTCTCTGTTTTAAGCAGTAGTCAAAGCATGTGACTGCTAACTCGGAAGGTCAGCACTTGGAACCCACCAGCTGCTCCACAGGAGAGAGTTGTACCAGTCAGCTCCCATAAAGATTTACAGCCTCCCCCCCCCCCCGACCCTGTGGGCAGTTCTGCTCTGTCCTACAAGGTCAGTAGGAATTGAAATGAGTTTTATGGCAGTGGCTGTGGGTGTGTTATGCAACTCTTTACAGGAGGAAAAAAAATGCATTCTCTGTACCAGTTGTCCCCCAATTTAAATGACACTTCCAACAGTGTCTTAGCTGTTAAAAAGGTAACACTGGTGAGTTAGTCTTTTTACTGACTTTCTCAGTCAGGTTCCTTCACAGTGTACAACAGAGGCAGACAAACCCCAAATGGAAAAACTGAACCACGGGCCATCCTCCTTCCCTGCTGGTCTGGTTACAGAGTTACGAATGTGAAAAACAAAAATGAGACCAGATGCAAGTACTGCAGCCTTCAACCTAGGAAACAGGAACGAGCTGGGAGGACTCATTCCTTGGCCTTTACATCTTCCTCCGTCCCTTCCTCTCGTGCCTCCCTTCTCATTTTCCTCACTCCCCGCTCTCCCCTAATCTGTAACATGGAGTCATGAAATCTTTGAGACACCTTTACCCTAGAACTCAAAAAACTCGTGGAAAAGGTGGTTCTCCTTTAGCATTACTGAAATTTTAGGTACTTCCTTGTAAATACTTTTATAAGGTTAGGGGTTTTTAGTGATACTATTAAAGGAGAAATTCTAGAAGATAAGAGCCAGCTTCTAAATATGTTCATTTTAAATTCTGCTTGGCGGAATATTTCCTTTTTTTAAATTATTTTTTCCTTGTTGATAGATGAAGACATTTGACAGCTAAAAAAAGATTCCAAGTCAGAAAGAACACTACTTGTGCTGTGCTTTCCTAAACTTCAAAGGCTGTTAAACATCAAGGAATTCTACTGATTTCCTGAAAATAATTGAAATGTCTTCTTTAAAGACTATGTTAATTTCTTAACTATTTTTCTATTTATGAGTCATGTTGTTTAACCATAGGGAACTATCACTAGGTTACTTTAAAAACATTTTAAAATCACCTGTATTTAATAGCTAACACCTTACATTTGGGAGGGTGTCTAAGTTTAAATGTTGCTGTTGTTGTTGTTGTGTGCCGTAGAGTCGGACTAATGCACAGCTGGCCCTCCAGCAGGCTTCCCAAGGCTGTAAATCGCACAGGAGGAGATTCCCTAGCTCTTCACTGGAGCAGCTGGTGGAAGACTGAAATTGTGTGCCTTTAATTTGACAAAGTAGCTCCTTACCACTAGACTACAAATGTAAAGATGTGTTAATTTCCTACATTTTCTAAAGAGATACTTGTATGACACTGGTGTACCACAGACTTGTATTTTCTTATACAAAATCCCAGTGTTCCCAACTTCAAGTTAGTCACTAAAGGCACTTTAGAAAAATACCCTTGTCTGAGCCACATGCCCAGATATCATTTAATTGGCTTGGGAGGGTGGCCAGATAGCAATTCTCTCAGGTGATTCTCATATACAAGCAGGATGAGGAAGCCCCTATGGGTGTAGGTCACACCACTTACCCATTAAGCCTTCTTCCCAGGTTGTAATACATCTCATAATACACCTCTATTTAGGAAATTCATCCTTTTAAAATCATGATGTAGCTCCCTTCCAGAGGATAAAATGTCCATTCCTCTCTATGAACAGAAGATAACATCTCTAGACCAACTGTTCCCATCATTTTTTTCTTAAAAAAAAAAGGCAGGGAAAATAGTAATGCATTTTAGTTCAGAAGAGGCTAGTTCCTTTAAGCTTATGAACAGAGAGCTTGTGCGGTATGGTACGTAGCATGCTGCACTGCTAACCACGTAGCCAGCAGCTCAGACCCACCAGTTCTTCCAAAGGAGAAGATGGGCAGTGCCCTCCTGTTAAAATCTACAGCCTTGGGAACCTCAGAGAGCATCCTAGGAGTCAGCCTAGACTCATTGGCAGTGAATTTGGGAGGCTTTCTGAAGAACAGCCACGCTCAGACCTTGTACAGATTTCTTTTTTACTTGAATTGCAGAAATAATCACCATACTTACTGAATAATTATAAGAGGAATGTATTTCTTCTTAGTTTATTGACACACATGCATACATATTTGCTCCTCAGATGAACAAGCTCTTTCATTAGGCTAATCACATATACCACATTGGGCTTGATTCTTCCAAACACCATTGAAGGTGTAATTGCAACTCTCTAGATTTGCAGATAAACACAAATCACCTCTATGCGTTTTCTTCTTTCCTTCTCAGCGAATCATATGGCCACCAACTTCAGTTCCTTTGAACTTGTGAGGTACTGGGGTTATCCATGGATGCTAGGACCCAGAGCTCCACCTCCAATGCCCCCAAATGGAAGTTTCAGTCAGGTGATCTTGTTGAAAGCATGGTTTTCATATATTCAGGACCAAGTACATCATTTTCAGGACCCAGTCAGAATAAGGTGACACTGCAGAGAATCTGATTAAAGAATCATTACACCCAAGGTGGCAGCAGCAGAGCATTCAAGCTTCGAGCACAGGGCCTGGTGAGACTGCAGCAGTCACAGGCCTCAGGCCGGGAAGGCTGGCTCACCCCTGTATCTAAACATGTAACTCTGATGCTTAGCTTTACACAGTCGACCCTGCCTGGAGGGGGCAGGTAAATAAAACAGTGCTTCTGTTCAAACTCAAATACCTCACCTCTGTACCTGTTTATTAAGACCTAAAATACTGGCTCCATTGTTTTTGGACTAAAACAACAGGCATTAAAAAAACAAAGCAGATGCAGAGGGGGTTTGGGTTGGTGTTTTTGTTGTTGTTGGGGCTTTTTTAGCTTTTCATCATGATTTGCATGAAAGTTTACAGAACAGATTGATACTCTGTTCAGCTATTCCTACATATTCTCCTTTATGACATTGATTACACACCTCACACCCCTCTTCCCCATCTCTGTGGTTCTTGTTACGCTCCATCCTTCACTCCTCTCACTTCTTGCCTCTGGGCTTTCTCCCTGGACCAGTGCTGCCTTTGCAAACCTGCACTGTTGACCGGTCTAAGGACTGACTCCATTCCTCCTGTCACTATTCACTTCACACACCTGGTTATTGTTTGGCCACTGGTTTGCACCAAAGAAGTGAGTTCTGTTCCAGATGTGGAAGTGGTAAAGGATCATAGTTGACGGGTTCCACCAGTTTTTATGATACCAGTGAGATCAAAGCAGATGCTTCAGATCATCTCTCTATTTGACTGACTTTTGTGATATTTGAAGGAAGTAGGAGAGAGGAGACATTATAAATAAATACATCAATCACCTCCTAGGGAAACCCTTTATTTTTAATAAATGAACTCTATAATCATATTTTTCAACAGAAGAATTATAAAAAAACAAAGTCTCAATATAGGAATTCTATGGCATAAATTGAGATGCTGTCTTACATTAAATATTCTTTGAAATAAATAAATAAAAACTAATTTCAAGGCAAATTCTGGTCTCTTGTATGTTTGACTCTGCTTTCCAGGGCATAAAATAAACTGCCAACTACATTATAAAATATAAAGATGACTTTAAAATAAAAGAGAAAATTGGGATTTTTAAGGGTTTTGCTTTCCACTTTTGTGGTTAGTTTGAACTAATATTTCTAGTTAGTGAATTTGGCTCTAGGCTGGGGCTGGCCCTCATGGTTTCAGAGAGTCCTTCATTTCCAGGGCAGGTGACTGGGGGAGCCAAGAGCAGTGGTCTACAGTTCCTCTTCAGAACCTGGGTCAGACCACCTTCAGGGCAATCGTTTCTCTCCATCTGCTATTATTGTTACAATTGCGAAATGTAAAAAAAAAAAAAATAAAAGGAACAATCTGCCATCATGTGTGCTCCGTTCACACCCATTAGTTTCTGGCAGGCCATCTTTCCAAAGATCTTTACTAACCATCTTCCAACTGCCAGACATTGCATTCAATGCTTGGGCTTGGACTACGAGACGAGAGTGGCCCCACCTTAGTCCTTACGTGGTTTATGATGTGCTGGTGATAGCCCATAACACTTCATATTGGGTGTCAAAGCAAATCCGGTTTGGTATTTTCTATAGCTACTAAAAGTATTTAGTTGCTTTTTAAAAATGTGACCAAGTGCCAACTTACCATATTAAAATTTATAAAAATTCAAACTACATAAAATAGCCCATTAAAAAAATATAGAATTCATCAAAAGAAATTTATATGGTAAATAAGTGTATGACAGTAAAAAAAAACCTAAATCACTGTTGATTAGACAAATGCAAATTAAAATAATTTCATTTACTTTCCACTATTAGATGGTGGGTGATTCTTAGAGTTAGTGACTATGTGAGAGAAATGGCCCTCCCTCTATTTCCCACTTATAGTAGCTCTGGTGGCCTAGTGGTAGAGAGTTATGCTGCTAAGCCAAAGGTGCATGGTTCAAATCCACCAGTGCCACCTTGGGAGAAAGATGGGCAATCTCCGTCCTAGGGGTTTTCAGCCTCTGCCAATGCA